TATCTCAATCTTTAATAATAATAATAATACAGAACTCCTGCGGTGGTGGACCGATAGTAGGCCTCGAAGTAACAGCACACAAACTCCAGACAAGAGTTATTTTTAAACCAACTCGATTCACAGATTGTGAAGAGAGTGACAATTTTAAAGGGGGGAGGGGGGGCAGAAATATAGAAATTTGTATGACGTATCCGCATGTAATTAATATGGGTTTCTAAGGCGTTGCCTGCCTACTTCTACCAAATAAATTGAAATTAACTGAAAGAGGATATATCTTTTATAAGAAAAAAAACAATTCTGCGTAAAAGGACTTACGACATTTGGTCTCTCATTGACCTGAGCCACATTGAAACATCCAGTCTGATCGATTGCGATGATGCAGTTGACTACGGTAGCATGCCACACAAACGAAACTAGCGGGCTGTCCGGTTCTCTTGAACCTATCAGGGTAGATGTAGACAGTGTGTTAGGTCAGGAAGAGCTGGAAGAGGAAAGCGCAGACACGGGCAGGCACTTACACATCGCTCTCAACTCCAAAAGACTCTGTTCCGACTCCTCCATGGGCTGACTGAAGGGTAGTTGAGCGTTGAAAACCTTGACAAAGGTCGAATCGGCGAGCAGAACGCCGAGCCAACCCTCGCTGTTTGGAAGATGAAAAAAAGCAAACACAGGATTGAGAGAGGGTAACAACTGCTAAAAACAGCGACAAGGTGAGCGCAGGGGCGTAGCCAAATTCCTGGTAGGGTAGGACTGTCTTTAGACATCATATCTGCCTTCGAGGTATAACAATAACCTACTTCTATATTTTCATTAGTCCGATATTTCCTTTTTTCCTCAAAGTCCGCCAATAGGCAACAGTGGTTTAAGTAGTGCACCTCATATACTCCTAAGCCCAGCATTTTGTCCTATGGAAACGGTGAGTTAAGGGTTTTTATGGGGGGGAGGGAGGAATTAGGATAGGCAGAATCGATTGGAAACACAGAAAATCATAAAGTGTTCACTACTATTTTAAGAAAAAGCTGAACCTCATCGCAATCCAACATCCGAAAAAATTACAAAGAAATGTGATGAAACTACATTTTTCTCCATATGCGTCAGATGATACACGCACCTAGTGTCAA